TCTTTCTTTCTTTCTTTCTTTCTTTCTTTCTTTCTTTCTTTCTTTCTTTCTTTCTTTCTTTCTTTCTTTCTTTCTTTCTTTCTTTCTTTTACATTAAATCTCTTATCTCTCACAGACTTGTTTATCATGAATGTCTGCACTTCTTACTTTGTTAACAAATGTTCCCATGAGTATAGTTTGGAAAGAAAATCTGAAAACTGATTTGGTCAATTTGTTTTATTTCACACAGTTTATGTGAAGTGACCTATAAATTTAATGTTTGTCACAAAATAAGGCATCACTAGAAATAAATACTGCAAAAGGCATTGGTGCGGTAAAATAATTGAACAAAAACTGAAACATTTGAAGTCTAAAGTTTCTACTTTTCCTTAGGAGTTCCTCGGGTTCTCCAGTCCAGGTTCAGTCTTCCCCTGGCTTTGGTGTGTGTACCCTCATCTCCAGCCAAAACCACCAAGTTTAAAGTCACTGTGGACACGAACCAGCCACCAGTTGACCTCAGCTCCATTTTCCGAGGTAATACTCAGATATTCACGTCCAAAACCTCATATGTGCTGATGCAGTTGTTGGTTTACCAAACGAGTGAAACTTTTTATTTGAGTTTACTGTACATCTGTAATCCAAAATAACTTTTTTAACAGAAAAAAAAAAAGAAATTAATCTTTTTTTTGTATTGCCCTGGGCAACTAAAAAATATATATATTTTATTTGGGCAATACAAACAGAAGTAAAATGAAGACAAGTTACAACAATCAATGCACACACATAGAAACATTCATAATTTGTGTTTCCAAGTAATCAAGAAGTCCCTTAAAAAGTTCAGATGAAACAAATATTAACCCAAAATGTTGACAGTGAGTGTTTAGACTCAACAAAAGTTAAATAGTGTGCTCACAGTCACAGTTTCTTGTATATCTTAATTACCTCCGCCAAGGGCGACGTAATGTTTTCGGTCGCGTATGTCTGTCTGTCGGTCTGTCTGTGGACAACATTACTCAAAAACTTGTCGACGGATTGTCATGACATTTTTACCACATGTGGTTACTGGGCCAAGGAACACACCTTTACATTTTGATGATGTTCCGGATCACGATGCGGATATAGGAATCTTTTTTCTTTTAACACTCTGAGATCGGCAAAGCTGTGATGCTTTCACAGGGCTTCTGTAAAAAACAGTGAGCTGGATTGGACAGCATGGACTTCAAACTTTATAAAAGTAATGTTAAAACCAGATTTAACGATGAATAATTCTTGCCATAATATGCGCATTTATAGAACGTTTTGTGACCAGGAAGTGCGTGACTGCACCATGAAACCTATTTTTTCCATTTCCTCAAGCACACCACATTTCCGAAACAACCAATCAAAACAGTTTCTCGCTACTAGGCTTGTAAACAGAGTGCTGCCAGGCCTCAAAGTTTGGAGACGGGGGGAGCCAGGAAGCACTTTATAAAGAGAGTCAAACCATTACAAACTCATACAAGGGGATAAAACAGACGTTTTAAACAGTGAAATGTGACTGATGAAAACTTAGGAGCTTAATCCGACACCAGTTTGACGATGAATAACGTCGGGTGACAAGTTTGACTTTTTTTCACATTGGACTTCACCAGGAAGAAATTCCGTGCATACTGCCTGCTTAAATGTTCGCTACATCAGAACTTATTCGGCAAATGTGTTTCCATCTCTGCTTTTGCCCATTAACTCTTACAGGATGGGGGAAATTGGTCTTGGCGGAGGTTTGCACTCGCTGAGTGCTTCTAGTTTCAGAATGTTTTCTTTTAGAACAATACTGTAAATAAAAAAAACTTGTTTTCCCTCCATTTTTTTCATGTAAAGATGATGTGAGCTATGAGTTATTAAATGTTAACTTTTGCATCTTTATAATTGACGTAATGTCATGTAATATTAGATGAAATGACTGCAGTCACAAAGAAGATGTCAGAGTAATGTGTAGAAGTGAGAATGTGCATAGTGACATTAATGATCCTGTGTTATGTGTGGTTGTGTATTTATATAAATGTGTTTATTTGTGATTCTGTGTGTTTCTGCTGTGGGAACCTTTTGTCTGTTTTCCACTTATCTGACAATCAGCTTCATTCAGCAGTCCTGACGTCTAAACACACGCTCGCTCTTCATACCAATTGTGTGCTTTCTCTGCGATGAAAGATTTGTGTGAGCTTCGATTGTGTGTCTTTGTGAAGAGCGGGACTGTATCTCGTTCACTTTTGTTGGCGTCCTGTGTCTTGATAGAGTCTCTCCTATCTGTCTCATCACCTACTTTTTTTTTCTGGCTCCCACTGCAGAGTTTTCAGCAAAAACAGAAGATAAGGATGGGAATAGTTTGGCTTTCCAGCTTCTGGCAGGAGCCAAAGTTACAATTCAAGCCTCCAAGACCTCCCGTGAGTCTGACAAGCACTAGTTAACATGAAAGCTGGTTCAATTGTAGGTTTAAACTTTTCACCAGCTTTCTGTGACAAATCATGCTGCTCTTTTTTTCTTTTATCTGATGCTTTTTTAAAACCATTTTGAACCAAAATTTACAAGCAAAAACTGACTTTTGTCTGATAACTTATGTTTACTTGTACTGCCTTAACTTTAACAAAGTTTTTTACTACATAGTGTATGTTTTGTCTGTTTTGTTTTGTAATTGCTTTATGAATTTATTCTTATTTATTTACATTTAAAAAACCTCTCAATAGAAATGATTTTTAGTATCCATATTGTAAGATACTTGGAATTTACATCAAGTCAAGGTGCCTTCGAACAAGTTTCAACCTTAAATTGATATCAGTGATTGTTACTGCACGTTTATTAGCTCCACCCATGTGTGATAACTTTACTTTTTAAAATTTTACACTATTAACTTCTACCACCGTAGCACACTCAGCATCTCGTAACTGTCTGTTGGTTTTTCAGAGCGCTACCGTATTCAGAGCGACAGTTTTGAGGACATGTGGTTAGTGGTGAAGGAACTTATTCAGAGGTTTGATCAACATTTCTCCAAACTGGGAATTAAAGACTTCAAGAAGAGTTTTAGTGGTCCTCTCCCACTTCAGGAGTACTTCCTGTCTGTAGACAATCACTTTCAGGTATGAACACTCAAACCCTTAATTATTAGTCATTAAACATTAAAGTGGGGTGGGGGGTATTGTCTATTCTCCAGACACACAGTTCAATTCTCTACCACAATCCAATAACTACTGTATGTTACCTTCAGCTGTTATGAAAACACTTTATATATAAAGTTAAATTTGATAGCCAAGATAAATGTCTTGAAATTGGCCTTTGTCTCTTTAAGAACTTCCTACCATTTCTGACACTCCCACTTCAGTAGGTCTTTACAACAATGCTTCAGTGGAGGGGTGCTGTATGGGGTGGGAGCTGGGATCTAGGATTCCTCCTATAAACAAGGATTTCTCCTGTAGAATTTCAGCCAGGCCAATCAGCAATCAGAAGGAGGAGTTGTGAACGTATCAATTTTCTAAGCCATTTTAGCCCCCCCCCCCCCCCCGGTGTGCGTGAGTAGATTAAGAGGTTCATTATACATGTGGCATTACATACCTGGATTAAGCTGGCAACAGGTAACAAAACCCTTTCTCAAGAGGAGCCAAAGGAAGAACCGAAAGTTAAAGGCATTTTTTTTTTACAATATGTGGAAAGGAAAAAACGGACAATGAGTTTAACAGGGCAATCAAGTTTAGTTTCATCAATCAGCAAACAGCAAAGCTAGAACTGTAGACTGGAATCAAGAGCAAAAACCTGAAATCAGCTTATTAAAAACACTATTTCTAACTGACAATGCATGAATATTACATAAATTTTAGTTAAACAAACTTCATATTGGTTGTTAAGTATTTTAATTCAGTAACCATGATCACTTTGATTGACCAAAGGAAACTTAAGGAAACTGTGTTTTAACCTATAGGAAACGTCTGAAGATCGGCAGACATCGCCAATAAATAAATAAATAAATAAATAAATAAATAAATAAATAAATAATCTGCTCTTTTTTCCCCTTAACTTTTCTCTGCAGGCTATTTTTTGTTGCAAAACAAAAACCCAGGCAAACTAAGTAACAAAATGAACCTTGTGATATAAACTTTTTCAATAGTAAAAATAGAAATGATCCACTCTGAGACAATGAATCATCAGAGGGATTTCCATCAGTTACTGAAATCTAACGTAGATCAGAATAAAGACATATATTCATACTAGCAGTCTATAGAACAAAAACTACAAGTGATAAAAGGCAAAGGCTGATTTTATTACATGAAGGAGATAAATTTACCACAAGTAATTTAGTTGGAAGGTAATTCAGTTTTTTTTTTTCACCTTGAAAATTTCTCCTATATTATTAAAGCTAAAAAGCATTTTTTTCCAGCCAAGTAGCCTACCTAAAAATAATTGGTATTCCACCTACATTCCAGCAAAAAGCAAATTAGTAAAAGTAGAAATGTCAAAAAGTCCATCATTTTAATTTTGTGCAAACAGGCTGGCTTGAATACTCACTAATAGATATTGAGTGCCATTATCTGATTGTGGGCACAAACTATTTAATTAGGCCATCATGACCATGAATTGTCTAAATGCCACCATGTTACAGAAACAAGAAAATAGTGGCTGGTAAAAAGTTTGAGTGGCCGGTACAAAACTTTTTCTACCAGCCACTGTGGCTGGTGGGGAAAATTTTTAATTTCCACCTTTGCAAACAAGTCTCTTCTGCTTGTTGCCTGTCCTTAGCAGTGGTTTCCTAGCAGATATTTTTACCATGAAGGCCTGATTCACACAGTCTCCTCTTAGTTGTTCTAGAGATGTGTCTACTGCTAGAAATGTGTGGCATTGACCTGTTCTCTAATCTGAGCTGCTGTTAACCTGCCATTTCTGATGACCTGTTCTCTAATCTGAGCTGTTGTTAACCTGCCATTTCTGAGGCTGGTGACTCAGATGAACTTATCGTCCGCAGCAGAGGTGACTCTTGGTCTTCCTTTCCTGGGACGGTCCTCATTTGAGCCAGTTTCTTTGTAGCGCTTGATGGTTTTTGTGACTGCACTTGGGGACACTTTCAAAGTTTTCCCAATTTTTCAGACTGACTGACCTTCACTTCTTAAAGTAATGATGGCCACTCGTTTTTCTTTACTTAGCTGCTTTTTTCTTGCCATAATACAAATTCTAACAGTCTGTGCAGTAGGACTATCAGCTGTGTGCTGTATCCAAGTCCTAAACTTATTTATAAAGCAAGAAATCCCACTTATTAAACCTGACAGGGCACAGCTGTGAAGTGAAAACCATTTCAGGTGACTACCTCTTGAAGCTCATCAACAGAATGCCAAGAGTGTGTGAAGCAGTAATCAAAGCAAAAGGTGGCTACTTTGATGAACCTAGAACATAAGACATATTTTCATTTGTTTCACACTTTTTTGTTAACTATATAATTCCACATGTGTTAATTCATGGTTTTGATGCCTTCAGTCTGAATCTACAATTTTCATAGTCATGAAAATAAAGAAAACTCTTTGAATGAGAAGGTGTGTCCAAACTTTTGGTTTGTACTTTAAATTCAGTATTGTGAAGTGAAGAATTAGTTTATGTGTGTGTGTGTTTAGATGCGAGTCAATGCGCAGCAGTACCAGGATCTGCTGTCTGAGCGAGCAGTCCAGTTCAGAGCCATCCAGCGTCGCCTCCTGACTCGATTTAAAGACAAGACCCCGGCACCTCTGCAGAACCTGGACACACTGCTGGACGCCACTTACACCCAGGTCAGAGACACTCACAAAGGTTTACCCAGGGACACGTACCGTAGAGAAGTTCCTTCATATGAATTTTGTTAATAGAGGTGCAGTAGTTGCAATGATTCACATGCCTTTGAGAAAACATCCTGACTTGGACTTAGGCCCTGTGATGAGACCACAAACCTTATATCAGTTATTACATACAATAAGATAAACAGTATTGTGTTGCCTGAGTGAGTAAGGTTAGAGCGAGGTCTCAACCATATGCAAGCATAAATGCATATGGTTTTGAGTATTAGCTGAGCTCAGAATACATCAGATTTCAAATCAAAGCAGCACCACAGCTTTGATTTTTTTCCTTCCTTTGTTAAACTTTGAAGTCCATCAGGGTGGAGCTGTTGTAGTGTCACTGCACTATTATAAGTGAGAAGAAGTGATGGTTGGTTGCTTGCCCCTGCTGTTTACTCTAGAGGCTAAACTGGCAGCCTTCTCTTCCACACTTCATTAGCTTCTCACAAACATAGCAAAGCTGGGTGACATCATCTCTTCATTAGTTGTTTAGGCTGTCGGCATGCTGCTGGCTGCTCGGGGTGACCGGAAACTCTCTCTCTCTCTGTTCAACCCAGTGCTTTAAGATTTTGTTAATTTAATGCCAATTAAGTTTACAGGACTGTGAGACTGTGGGAGCTTAATGAGAGGAAATGAATGAGCTTGTTGAAGTGCTAATGGCAATTAAAATCAAATAAACAGTGTTGACCTTAAGCTGAGAAGATTTTGTCAAGAGAAGCAATTTAAGTGATTCTAAAATATGTTTGCTTAAGTGTTAAAATATCAACTTTTTTACAACTTCTACTCAAACAATCATAACCGCTTGTAGAGATAATACTTTATCTGCAGTGTTGTTGTAGACAAAGTATGCTAAGCATTAAAAAGAACAGTCAACAAGTAGATTTTGCATATTTAATAAGCCTTTAATATGTATTAAGAGTCAACATGGGCATGTCATTTGTGTAGCAAGAGCAAAAAAGGGGTTTTTATCCCATTATTATAATTATGCATCATTTACTATGATGCAAAATGGTATAAATGTTTACACATAGGATCAGTACCATGCTCTGGACAACAGAGCCTCTTTGCACACGCAGAAGATTGCAGGCACAGCTGCAAAAGTAAAATAGTAGTGATTGCTGTGATTCTTACAACAAATTGCATAATCCCAGACATGAATGGGTGTGTCTGCAGTCTGCACCGAGATGCTTTCTTTTCACATCATCTATCAAGAGTTCACGTTGTGATTTAGTGCCATCAAATCAGTTCTACACGAGCAACTTATATTACATTTAGTCTGATGTCTGAACATTTTAGCTACACCACTTTCTGTCATCAAATTTCTAATATTTTTATAGTTCGTCAATCATTGCACCCAGAGACTGGTAGTTTTTAACATGCAAATATCAGAGATTCAATTTTTTTATTCATATTTGCTGAAATGTTTGAAGGTTTGGTTTCCTTACTAAGACTTTGTTAGTTCTAACAAAATGTAATAATTTTAATTAAATACATGTTGAAGTTGTTATACTACCTTTTACAGAATATGCACCACTATAAAACTTTGTGTGACCATGTAAGTCACTCTGCCGACCTTCAACCTATCAAAGTATATCCTTTCAAAATGTCACTGTGCCATACCACACAGCTGCTTCCAGATGGGACATTATGACTTTGCCTCCAGAAGGTAATGCTTTCTGCTGTCGCTCCTGTCCATCATTCTTTCTTTCTCTCAGCTCTTCTCTCACCGTTTTCGTCTCTTCCCGCTATCCAACGTCTTGCATGCGGGAAGTTTCTGACACACTATACACTCTGTAATGTATACACACCGCCATAATGGAGGCTATTGATGGCTGGTCGGAAGAGTGATGAATGCGTCAAATTAATAATTCATGTCAGTATTAAGAATCATGCTTCCGAGCCTACAGCCAGCTCAGCAATGTATCTGCTGTAACAAGGCAAGTTTTTGTGGGGGAATTTAAATTCTTGCTTTTTAGTGTTTGACAGATGTTAGACCAGAGAAAATCAAATATGCTAATAATGAAGTCATATTCGTTGCTATTTTTTTCTACTTATGGTAATATGTAGAAATCTTATTTGGTTGCTTAGTCACTGTTTTGTTTTTTTAAGGAAGAGCAATTTTGTTTTTATTTTCCAATATATCTAATAGGGGTGTAACAATACATGTTCCCGTATCGAACCATATTGAACAGTGCTGTATCGAACAATACAGATTTAAAAAATTTACTTTATCAACTTGTCTTCTGAAGATGCTCTGTGTTGAAGGATCAGTGGATCTGTGTTCAACTACTCCACCTAGGCTGTATTTTTGAGCGCAGATCCACTGAGAAACTTGCTGTTTCAGCAACATTTAATTTAAAAACTGTACTTTTGAGGTTAAACAAATGTTCATAATTAATATAAATAAATTACAAGTTAAAAAGGGCATGGAAATTTCTATTTTTTGTATCGAAAAAATATCGAACCGTGAGACTAAAGTATCAAACCGAATCAAACCGTGAATTTCCTGTATCGTTGCACCCCTAATATCTAAATAAGTTTAGTTGTGAGGTTGAACTTGAATTTTTCTTTGCTCACACATTAACAAATACTTTAAAATTATTCATGTGGAAAGGTGGTGCTTGACCTCTTCTATGTTTTTTTTTTTTTTTCAGGTTAGGCCAAACATTTGAATCTTTAGGTTCCTAGTTGAAATCCTAGGTGATACTTCGTTTGGCCAGTTTAGAAAGAAAATAATTTATGAAGGTTTGCCTCAAGAAACGGTGGCTCCGTGCCTGCAATCACACTGTTGTTAGAACGGTAACGGAATGTGTGGCCAATCAGGAATGTTGGTGAACCAGGCACCTTTTTCATTTGGACTTGAAGGAATGTCTGCTGGGTAAATTTTCTGCATCAATCTTAGATGACTGGGGGGAGGAATTTCCTCCTCGTTAGCAGTGTGTGTCTCCACATGCAGTGGCCAGTCATCACCGACGAACCGTCAGAGATAAGAGGTATGAACTCCCTGTGAGAGTACTCTGTGGTCAGTTGTGCATTTATGCAGTGGAGGATAATATTTCCATTGTTCGTGTTGCTTTTGTAGACCTATATTTTATTCATGAATTCCTTAGATTTAGCAAGTCACGTCTTCCTAAGTGTGTGTATGTGAAAACGCAAAAGCCTTTTTCATCTGCCGAATATGTGAGCATAGTTTCAAAATTCCTCCAATATGTCAACCAACAGTTTATGATTGATGAGTTTCAGAGTAAAGTAAGACCCATGAATGAGGATTTGTTATGTGTCAGTTTTAGCTATAGACAAAATTCACTAGCTTGTTTGGGGATTGAAGATTTCTTTCAAATCTTTGAGTGTTTCTCCTGGTTGGAGGTATGTTTACTTCCCTTCATTATCACTACTTAAAAAACCATAAGTCTTAGCAACCCCTTTATTTTACGCTGTCCCCTCTAACTGGTGTCTAATTAATCCTCAGCAGTCAGAAGTTAGCCTGGTATTACTACTGAGCATTTTAACTAACTTGCTATCCTCTTGAAATTAAATGTAACACAGAACTGTCACTCAAAGAAATAAATGCTAAAAGCCTCAAACAGTTCATGGGAAATGAATGAAGAAAAGGCCAAAGGGGGTTGAAAAATGGAGGGAGTCTTTTCAGTTTCCATAAATATTTTCCCCAGCACACTTTCCTCTGAAGGCAAAACGTTCATCGTTTGTTAGTATTAGCATTAGCGCTGTGCTAGCAGGAGCTGCTGTCTGGAAGATGGTGGGTGGGAGGGGTGTTCAAGAGCCAGTCTGGGCCAAACTAAGCTGAGTCTCCCTGTAATTATGAGTTCAAACGCTGGAAGAGGGTGGCTCGTTGACTGACGGGGTGACTGACAGGCCGTCCAGGGGCCTCGCAGGGCCCCTAATGTAGGCTTCTGGTAGACAGCAGCTTGATTTATCTGGCCCCAAATGGAGCTCTAAACAGGGTTAAACACAGATCCCACTGTGGAGAGCAGGACCACCACCATTAACAGCCTGGCCTCTCAGGTTTTGTATCTTTGTGTGTAAGTAAGAGAGTAAGAAAGTACATGATCACAGCTGATATTTAAAAATATGTGTGGAATTCTAATTTATTTGGTACAGAAATAGAACAAGATCCTGGCTTTACACTGGTAGACCAAATGATTGGAATCATCCCAGGTTAGGTCCATGTGGGTTCTCATTTACCATAAGAGGTGACAACCCATAAAAAGGTTATGGCCAGTGCACTACAGCTGTATATCATGAGTTTGACTCTGTTTTGTTTGTTTAACTAGAAAAATAGAAACTTCAGAAGTGAAAACGGGAATTAGGCTTTTTTTCCTATATTGCTGAACAAGTGAATTAGTGTTATAGTCAAGACCACCTTTACCCGAAACCAAGTCAAGACCAAGACCTTTAGATGTTGAACCAAGTTGAGACCAAGACCAGAAAAAAATAAAAATAAAAAAAAGACATAAAATTGACCAAATCTCTTTGAGTGCGGCTCTGGTAAAGAATTTTGGTACAGTGGCAGATTGCTAACATTAGCCAGCTAGCCTTGCTAGCATCACTTACACATAGCTTACTCCTGTGCTTATTTTCTAAGTGATGATAAAATTTTGACGTTGTCCCCACCGTTTCTGAAAGTGAAGCACTGCAGAATTTACAAGTTGCTGTACGCTTTCTTCTGGATGTTGTTTTACAAATATATTCTTTATAATTTATGTAGCCAACTTGTATCACTGAAGACTTTGCAGACATCTTCTCCCATTACCAGACAGCCACTGCTCACTTTTTTGGGGTGCAGTGTGTGAATGAATGGCTGGGGAACAAAAATATATAATTAGCAATGAGTCACGCTTGGATTTGAATCAGAACGTTTTACATCCAATGAAAGCAAAGATGTTAACAGATAAATTGGACAATATTCTGGCAATTTAGTGATATCTCCACAGTTGTCC